GTATCCGCGCCCCCCCCATCTCCCTACACCCGACAGCTGTGGGTTGGGGGGGGGGGGGGTTGGGGAAGATACAGCCACCAATGTTTAGATTTGGCCAAGGTTGAGAAACGCTGCCATAAAAAGTCTCTTTGAAAATGTTTGAATGATTTGGGCCTCTCTATTTAACTGAGTCGTGATATTATTGTCCCAGTAATTGATTCTGTCCGTTCTTTCATCCGGCTAAATCCAGTTAATGAAGGTTAGTTCTTGGTCTGGCTTAAAGCAGACTTCATCAACTTGTTTATACTGGAATTAAAGTACCCAGAATTCTGGTAATTGTAATCTTCAGAGACATCCGATTGGACTGGACATACAAATACTATCTTACAAGAATTTCATTGCATACTGTTGTCTGTTTTTCCTTCATGTAAATATTTTTCTAATGCAGGCTATATTAGCCACTTTGGTGGCTTGCTGTAGAAGGAACAAAAAAGTATTTTAAATAAGTCAATATCATTGAGTGCTTTAAAAGATCTAGAAATGCTTTGTTTTTCTTGCCCCTTCTTTGCACAGGTGCTTGGAAGAGAGGTGTACACTTCTAATAACCAGTTGGGTGGCATCCAGATCATGCATAACAACGGAGTGACCCACAGCACTGTGTGTGACGACTTTGAAGGTGTCTATACCATTCTGCAATGGCTCTCTTACATGCCAAAGGTACGCTTTTCCTGTTTGTTTCTTTATTTAAACAGTTTATATGGCTCACATCCATGAACATCAACCAGAAGTCAGAGGACAGGATGAAAACTCCTTGCTCTCACAACACGTGGACAGACTCAACCCCAGTTTCAACTGGGAAACTATTAGCATCTTAGACCAAGCCAAATCCAAAAATGCAAGGGAATTCCTGGAAATTTGGCATTTAGACAAATCAGTCATCGACAGAAACATAGTGATAAATCACATTTATGCACCATTCAAAAGAGACAATAAAAATCCTAGGAAGGAAACAAAAAGACTCAAACACATTCCTTCCAGCAGCACTCATATAAGCAGGGATCAACACCAGACAAAGAGTCAGGCAGAAAATAGTACTCTAATCAATAATCTAATCCAGGAGGAAATGACACCCCACCAACACTGGCTGGGCAAGCAAGTATATATAAACAGGCAGCAAATCCCACACTCAGTTGCACTGATGATGTTACCTAGTTGGGTAATGAAACGTCTGCAGGAAAACAACCAAACTCAGAGAGTACCAAGATCCCCACAATTTATATAGCTGCCCATCTCACAACAGTGACTCTGGATGGTGCGCAGAGGATTAAAGCCAATAAAACATAATACAAAAATAGAAGCCTAAATGAACAATAATCATATTGTGTGAGTTGTTCTTGTACCCTCTCATGAAACTAATTTTTAATTTTACATGGCACCCTTTTTATATTTCTTCAAAATGTACAAAACCAATTCTACTGTATTTGGGGGTTCGGGGTCTCATTCAAAGGCCTCCTACGTTTCTCCCCCAAAAGTCCTGTCCTTATGACATCACTGCTGATATTGTAAATGCAGGTCTGTTTTTTCTTAGCTGCATGGTTGGCAGAGGGATTGGACTCTATGGAATCCCCAAAAGGCTCGGTGGGATGAAAGGACAACAATCATTTCTGGAACAATAGTGTAAGATCATGAAAAAAAGCATAAGAAATGAGGGGCCAATAGTTTTAATATTAGTAATACCCAAAGTGGATCCTCACTGCAAACAGTTAACAAAGTAGATGGTTTCTAACTGACATGGCTTTCTCCACTGGCTCTGGGGAAGGGTTTTCTGAAAACTGGGCCGTAATCTATAAGGATTTGTAAAAACATGGCTTCCTGGCTTGTTTCTCTTGCATTAGAGTGTGTTCAGTCCAGTTCCGAGGCTCACTGTGAAGGACCCGATAGACAGGACAATTGAATTCCTTCCCACCAAGGCCCCCTACGATCCTCGCTGGATGCTTACTGGACGACCTCACCCAAGTATGTATACTTCAGAAAGTGGGATTCAATCTGGGACAAAGTGGGGAAGGGGCCACACTTACGTTTGGTATCTCTCCAAATATACAGTATATGAATCCTAAAACCCTCTACACAAACATATCTATTGTAAGATGTTTATTTATGTTATTGCCTACCTTTCTATATCGCCTACTCATGGGACTCTTATATTATGTTGCTTCATACTGCCTGTAGGTTTAAATTTCCAGAAGTCTATGTTGTTTGTATGTTCAGGTCTAGTTTTTTACTCGGTTTGGTTTAAGACAGTGATGGCGAATCTATGATACGTGTGTCAAAGGTGACATGCACTGATGTTTTGAGTAACACGCCAGTGTTCACCAGCACCCAACAACAACTGTTCTCCCTGTTTGAGTTACCAAAGAAACTGAGTTTGTTTTACGCGTATTTCATTTTTGTAATTATTTGACGTTTCTTTATATAATACATAGCACCACACGTAATTGGACTGCATTTTTTTAAATAAATGAATACATAAAGAATTTTTTATCTTTTGTTCGTGGGGGGTGACATGCCAGCAGAGTCAAGTTAGGCATTTTCTGAATTTTTGACACACACAGCCCAAAAGGTTCACCATCACTGGTTTAAGACATGCTAATATCTTGGAAGGGAAAACTTGCAGAATTTTTCTTTCATCTCAATAATGTTGCAGTCTAGGTTTGGGCAGATACTTTTCAACCGTAGAAAGGATCTGAAGCTATGAAAAATGCAACGGATGGGGCAAGATTGACTTTAGCTCATGGTTAAAGAACAGCAATTTCAAAGTAAAGGAAGTATTTACTCTCATGTAACTCAGCAGGGTATGAATCCTATTTGTTGGTTTTCCAACTTTCCCATAATTCCCCATCAGTTTTTGAAGGCAGTGAAGAACACTGCTGTATAGGAGTGTATAAAAACATTTTAATATGAACTATTCTAAGTTCTGAATGCTGCTTTCTGTGAAATGGGCTTTTTTCACCATTTTATAAGCAATTTGAATTTGCAGCAGTGTTTTGAACTGTTTTGAACCTGAAACACTTCCAAGTTGCTATAAAACAATCAGGGCTGCACTTGGAACTTCAGTTTTGCATTTGAAACAGCAGGTTTTGTGAAGTTTTGCCCTCAAGATGTTTTGCCCACCCTTTCTGCTCTATAAAATGACAAAGTCATCCTCTGACCCAAAGAACTGGCCCACACAGGCATATGGAAATTTTGCAGGAAAAAAAGGTGCTTAAATGGAAACGTTTTAAAGGAGAAAGAACACCACCACCACCCCGCCAAGCCAGAAATGCTGTATAGTCTTGGAAAACTGTGTATGTGCTGGAGTTGGAAAATAATAAAAGGCCCAGGGGAATTTCTTGGAAAAAGGCATGGCTGGCTAGAAGCTTGAACAGAAGCAGTTGCATTACAGATCTCACTCATACCACCACCACAATAATAACTGTTTTAATCCAGGGTAATAGAACATTTTAACTATTTTTTATACAAAGCCCCTTTGCAGGTTTCTGCCAGAATTCAAAATGTGAACGAGGTGGTTCCTGACGTTTTGGCTCCTACTTAGAATGAGGCAGGTGACGGTTGTAGATTTTTGGGCAATTTTGGGGCTAATGCTCTTCCCCTTGCTTCCTTCCCCCCATCATCTTGCTGGCAATTCATCTGCCTTGTCTTGAGTGTGCATGTTCCAAATTGAGTGACTTTGGTTTCTAATTTAGTAGAGGCGTTGAGGGAAGCAGATGATTCTCTGCGATAAGTTAAGGGAGAGATCTCTTAGGTGAAAAGTTAAAGCCGTTTATTAGGAGAGATAGTGCTGTGATATTCTTCAAACTGACGCTCAACACGAGGCCCAGAATCGAAACGATCAGCTCTGGACTCAGTGATGAAGAGATAATTTTGAAATGGATGGCCACATTTTACAGCGGGGGGCCATGGAGGCAGGGAATATTAGAACATAGTAATTTCAAGTTTGGGCTTGATAAAACACTTTCCATCCTGTTGGAGTCAGCAGAGGTTGGGGTCCCTAGATCTCCACTTTTAATTGGTTTTGCACTTGGCTTTGTGGTGGAAGAAGGACTTCTTCAGAATTATAGCATAGCAAAAAAGGCCGAACACTAAGCTCCCCCTCCCATCCCTTTTTTTGCAGCTGTTTTGTAGACAATGTTTGTACAATGGAGGGCTCTAGAAGGCCAGTTCAGGGCTGGTGGCAAGAGAGAAAGTGGGAGCCAGTACTTAGAACCAGTTTGGTCTAGTGCTGTGTTTTTCAAACTTGGCAACTTTAAGAGGTGTGGACTTCAACTCCCAGAATTCCCTAACCAGAGTGGGAGTTGAAGAGAATTCTGGGAGCTGAAGTCCACTCATCTTAAAGTTGCCAAGGTTGAAAAACCCTGGTCCAGTGGATAAAGATGCTGGACTAGGAGGGGGGAAACCTGGACACACAAGCCAGTTGGGTGACCCTGGGACAGTCCTTTCTCAGTCCCAGGAAGAAGACAGTGTCAACCCACTTCCAAAAATGCTGCCAAGAAAACTTCAGGGACCGGTCCAGGCAGTTGCCAGAAATCAAGATTGCTTCAGAAGCATATTTATTTATTTATTTATTAGATGTTTATCCTTTATTATACTACACTTCCCCTCTCCTATTTCCCTCCCCACAACAACAACCCTATGACTGACCCAAATTTACCCAGCTGACTTTCATGCCTAAGGGAGGACTAGAACTGTGGAGTCTTTGGTGTCCTCTGAGCTTGGTTGTTTTCTTGCAGACATTTTGTTACCCTTCCACGTAACATCTTCACTGCTAGAAGGGAGTGGGGTTTGCTCAACCAAGCTCAGAGAACCCCAAGGACTCCACAGTTCAACCCTGAGCTACATATATTCTCTTCTATTGGAGGACTAGGACTCACAGACTTCTGTTTTTTAGCCCAGCATCTTAGCCTGACATCAGGTTTTAGCTCAGTTTCAATCCAAGCAAGTCACGATTTACTACTTCTGTCTTTCTGCTCTTTGGGGGACAACACATCCAGACCCCTTTGGGCCTCATTTCTAGATTTGTCCACTAGATATGTTTCATGAATCCTCTTCTCCACCAGATTGTGTAAGACTTTTCTGACTCCTGCATTTAGTTGGGGACTATGGCTCTGCTCTGAATAACAGTGGCTTCACAGGATTTTAGATGGGTTCGGAGGTCCTGGACAAGTAGGTTCTGGGTCCTGCTGGCAGAATTACTTGGGTGGAACAGTCACATTCTAACAGCTAGGCGCAATATAGAAATTATGTTTGTTTGTTTATTGTCTTTCTGTCCTGCCACAATCTGAGTTGACACCAGGCAGAACCTTCCAATGTGATTTGCAGAGATTAATAATACATCTTTATCTTCATGTTTACAATGTTAGAAGATGCAACAAGAAAGGAAAAGCTATCAGGACTTTGGGGTTCTTGAGGTTCTCTGAGCTTAGTTGTTTCCCTGCAGACTGATGACATTACATAGCCCGGTAATGAAATGTCTGAAAAACAACAGAGCTCAGAGAACGCCAATAGTTCAACCTTGAGCTACATATATTATTTACTATCGGGACTTAGAAGAAGGGGTGATGGTGGAAAGGCTCGTGCATTTGTTTTTGATTACTGTTTCTTAGTTTAGTCACATTTTTAAGTTCTCACAAACCCCAGAATAACTCTAGGTCAGGGTGATGTTGGTATTAGTCCAGCTCCAAATGATGTTCCAAGTGCTGGGTTGGAAGAAAATCAGGAGAATCCAAAGCAAGGCCTCTAAGATTTCAACAGTTGCTCAAGCATTGCAGATGTTGACCCAGCCCTTGTCTTGGGAAGAAACTTCTCTTCCATCCCCTGATTTTTCATTTGCTTTAGCCGGAGATCCCGAGAGCTGGATCTGAGACTTTCAAGCAGTGTTTCTCAACCTCAGCAACTTTAAGAAGTGTGGACTTCAATTCTCAGAATTCCCCAGCCAACATGCTGGCTGGGGAATTCTGGGAGTTGAAGTCCAAACCCCTTAAAGTTGCTGAGGTTGAGAAACATTGCTTCCAAGCATGTGCCAGGCTGCTGGGGTGTGGATTCTCATCCCAATGATCTGCTTTTTTCCCCTGCAAATTATCTATGTCACCATTGCTAGAATTGTCCATTTGGGTGAAGAACCCTAATAAGTTATCTTTAAAAGATAGTGCATAATTTACAAAACTGAAGAGGCTTGAAAAACAACAGATGGAATGCCTTAGATTTCTTTTGAAAAATGTTTGCAGTGTCTTGAAAGAAAGAAAAAAACACCCTGTAGAGTTATTTATTTAAAAGAACACAAATTCCCTCTGCTCCACGTGTCCCATCGTTTAACAATAAATGATGCTTTCTGCTGATAAATGGCCCTCTTTTATGCAGACGAGCAAATTAAAGAGACAACCATTGGTGAGGGCAGGCAGATGGTTTTGTCATTTTAATATGTAACTCCTCATGCAATTTGTTAGAAGCGGGACATTGTCTCTTAAGGTAATCCTGGGTAAAATATACACAGATATCCAACATGTTGGTGGCAAGATGGATGAAGCTCCAAAATTGGTACAGGATGTTTATGAGAGGTATGTCTCAGCTTCTGAGAACAAGCAAAGTAGAGCTGATAAGAGAGAGGCAGTAATAGTAATAGTAATAAGTCAAGATGATGGCCACGATGGTGCAATTGAAGCTGTACAGTGGTACCTCGGGATACGAACTTAATCCGTTCCGTGACTCTGGGCGTATCCCGAGTTGGTCGTAACCCGAAGGAAATTTCCCCATAGGGTTCAATGTAAATCCGGTTAATCCGTTCCACCCTCTGAATTTGGTCGCACCCCGAGGCAAATTTCCCCATAGGGTTCAATGTAAATCCGGTTAATCCGTTCCACCCTCTGAATTTGGTCGCACCCCGAGGCAAATTTCCCCATAGGGTTCAATGTAAATCCGGTTAATCCGTTCCACCCTCTGAATTTGGTCGCACCCCGAGGCAAATTTCCCCATAGGGTTCAATGTAAATCCGGTTAATCCGTTCCACCCTCTGAATTTGGTCGCACCCCGAGGCAAATTTCCCCATAGGGTTCAATGTAAATCCGGTTAATCCGTTCCACCCTCTGAATTTGGTCGCACCCCGAGGCAAATTTCCCCATAGGGTTCAATGTAAGTCCGGTTAATCCGT